TGCCAGCCCCCTGGGGCGGGGGGGGGGGTGATTTCATGCTTACTGTCTCTCTGTCTCTCTCTGTCATTCTGGCAAGCTCCCAAGCCCTATAGCAAAAACCTCTCAAAGAAAAAAAAAGAAAGAGAAAGCAAGCCAGAGAAAGTGAGGGAGAAAGGACCCCCCAGGGGGCGTGGTCACATTGCAATCTTTTCTCCACCTTGCTGTGATTTTAGGCACAAACAAGAACCTGGCATCCTGGCATATTTTTCAAGGTGTTATGGGCAGTCATGGGACCTGGTTCCCTTAACCACTAGGATACCGAGTCAGCCTGGGGTGGTAACTGTATGCAGCAGGTTGAGAAAGTCACTCTTTGCTGTATGCCAACCATTTGGGTAGCTCATGAGTTTTGTGATCTTTTTCTTCTCCCATCTCTTTCTACTCAGTTATCAGTGATTTATAAGGAATATATGTAGTTTGAATGGAGTTCAGTGACTTCAATATATAGTGCATTATTTCTACTTTCTGATTTGACCCAAAGGGCACCAGTCAGTCACAAGTACATGTATTTTAGAAGCTTGAAGTCCGTGAGACAAAGTCCAACATCAAGTATTAGAAGCCAAGTAACTTGTGGGGAAGGAATGTAAAGAAAAAAACTGGGTAGTTTGGTTAGAGCATAGTACTTAGGGCAGATAATTAGATTTTCTGGTTTCCCAAAAATCTGAATTGCAATAAAAGGAAATTTTGATATGTTGTTTCAAAAAATAAACGAAAAATTCTGCCTGAGAGAATGCTTAAATTATATCGTTAGGAATAGATTTATTTACTCATTTGAGCAAAGGCTTACCTCACATTTAAATACTTTGGGAATAATATTGGTAAGTCAACCAGCTAAACCTTAGTATGAATGGACTTATGGACAGGGGCATAGCACACTTCCAAGAAGATTCAAAGGGACGAATGACGAAAGGCCAGAAAGGACAATGCACACTGGCCGTCAGTGTGGACAAGCACACCAAGAAGGATGGCTTCTGGGTACACTTCCTACATGACTTTGCACTATCTACACCTCCAAGGAAAGGGATGCAGACTGTTGGAATTAAAACAAGATTTTTAAAAAAGAAAGTCTCGAAACAAAAATTAAATTAACAGAAAAAAATACAGTGAACTATCTTGTACCCTGGAGTTTGTGAAGAGCGATTCAGCTGAGTCACAAATATGGCTTAAAGCACTCCCTCCCTCATCTTCAGTTCTAAATTCTAGAGATACTAACAGTATACAAACTCAGGGATCTCCCCCACGATAGCTTTTGCCTTTACTTTACATAGCGTCATACCGGACGCTGTTCTAAACTTGGGGTACCTCGTGGTCCTCGCCGAGCTGGCACAGTCTGTCAGTGGTGTGTGAGTCTAGCACACGGAAGCACGCCCCGGGGTTCTGCTACACACCGTGCTCTCACTACCGTCCGTCCTGGGCGACCTCCCCGTCCCACCAGCCCGCACGGCAGGAACAGGGGCGCTCCCAGTTACTTACTCGCATTCCTCCACATCCAGTTTTTCCAGCACCATTTGCTGAAGAGGTTTTCCTTTTCCCAGTAGACTGACTGGTACCCCTTGTCAAAAATCAGTTGACTGTATGTTTGGGGATTTATTTCTGGAGACTCTATTCTGTTCCATTGGTCCACATGTCTGTTTCTGTGCCAGTATCATGCTGTTTTGGTTATCACAGCTTTGTAGTATATTTTTGTTCCCTTCATCCTTCCCCTCCTTTCTCGCCGGCCTTTGCACCTACACGGCATCCCACCCCGCCCGCGCGGCTGCCGGGAAGAGCCGGGCAGAGACACCCCGCCCGGCTCCGGCCTGCCCCGAGTCTCGGCTGGGGAGGGTATGGCGCGCGGGGGCCGCTGGCTGGCTCGAACTGGGCGCGGCCGCTGCGGTGCTGGAGCTGGCCCCGGCCCGGGCGGGGTGAGGAGCGGGCCTGCTAGGCGAGTGCCTTGGGGGCATCCGTAGCCTTTTCTGGCCCTGAGTTTAGTTTTGTTGATATTGTTTTTTTGGTTTGTTTTTCCCTCCCAGGTCTTCTTTTTTTCTATCGCTTAAGCTTCCTCGGCAACCAAATTCTCCTCCTCTTTTGCTAACTCGTGGTTTTTTTCTCCAATTATATCTTCAAACACCGTTTCTTGAAGTTTGGCCGTGTTGCTGCCTGTCTATATACCTTTTTTCCTGTTTCAGTGATAGTCGGACTCCCAATTCATCCTAAAGTTACTTCGTAAATATGGAATTAAAAGAGAACGTTGAAAGGAATGGCTTGAAACCAAGTGTAAATAAACATCGAGCAATTATAGGTGGATAAACTAAGAGCATGCCTGTCCCATCCTAATGGAAGAGAGCCAGGGATTACGAATAATCTATTTAGAGCCACCCTGAATGGCTGATTTGAAACCATTTCTGGGAAGATGCATCCAGGCTCTCTTTCCTGACTCTTAAATTGATGCTAATACTATTTCCGAAAGACCAGAACCAAGTAGATACGAGCAGGAGAAATATGCTCTTCTAAAGTAAAATAGATGAGCTGTCTTCTGGAAAATATTATAGCTTTCCTTAGGGAGGTACCCTGATTCTCAGATAACCTCAAAATTGGGGGCACCCTTGAGACCAGCAGGTGACGTAATGGTTATGTCGCTGGACTTTCACATGGGCAACTGCCATGCTAGTCCGGAACTCCCGCCAGACCCGTGTGCCTGTGAGCCCAAAATCTGGAGAAGAGAAGAGGAGAAGGGATTGTATCGGGGTCGTCCCCCCTGGGGAGTGATTTCTCGCTTTCTGTCTCTCTGGTGAGCACAGGCACCCTATAACAAAATCTCTCTTTAAAAAAAAAAAAAAAAGTCATTCTGTCTACCCCACTAACTGAGCCTGATCCCGGTTTCCCCCCAGTGCCAACCATACCATCAGTTCCAACACTCCCGGTAACAGACTGCATGTTTATGTTCCTCCAAATTTACATGTTAACCCTGAATCCCAATGTGATGATATTTGGAAGTGGGATCTTTGGGAAGTGATTAGGTTATGAGGATGGACCCTAAGCTAGCTGTCTTCCCACCAAATGAAGATACAAGCCACCTGCAGCCTGGAAGACAGCCCTCACCAGAACCAGACCTTGCTGGCATCCTGATCTTGGACTTCCAGTGCCTGACTTTAAGAAATACATGTTTGTTGTTTAAGTCATACAGTCTATGGTAATTTGTTATAGCAGCCTAAACTAAGCTGCTCCATTTAAAATAAAAAAAAAAAAAAGATTTTATCACTAGAGGGCATATGTGCTTGCCAGAGAGAGACAGAGAGAGGAGGAGAAGGCACTCCGATGTGGGGTACGGTCAAGCTGCAATCCCCTCTCCTCCATTTCTCTACCCTGTCAGGATTTGGGACATGCACTCGTGTCCAGCACGTTTCTCAAGCTGTAGGGGCTGGGATTTGATTCTCCATAAGCTATCTGGGAATCCAGTCCTTTAACCACTAGGCTACAGGGCTAGCTCAAGATACTCCCCTTTTATAACAAATATTTTGTGGAAATACGGTTCATAAATAATGTAATTTACCTTAACATACAACTTTGAAAATTAATAAAATGTCCTAAAAAGGTAAAAAGGAATAGTAGAAGGAAGGTGACCTACAATTAAATACAATGTGGTTAGATAGGTGAATACTTGGGTATAACATTCAAAAAGACAACGTGGTACACAAATGCTCGCCCTTCTATATGGAGTCACCCTAGTTAACAGCTCCAAGTGCAGAATGACACAGGCACGTTGTAATGGTGACTCCATGAAGAGTTACTGTGGCATGATTTCCAACATGATAACTTTCTGGCAG